CAGAATCGCTAGGTTATGAAGTCATATTTCGACCAACCCATCAGAAACCGCCCCGACCAGGATACGAACATCCTTGTCGAGCGAATCAGAAATAAGATCTTTTTTTTTAACCAAGATATAAGGTCGCTATTCGTGATCCAATGAGAAGTTAAGTAAAACTTTCTAAGCGGATCTTTACATATGTATATAAGGAGATAGAAAATCAGCCTAAATTAGAATAGATTAATTAATTTTATCCATTCTCTGTTGCTACGGTCTTTAACATACCCAGCGGCGAAATGTGATATATGCATGATCCACACAGTCTCACATAGACTCAGACAGTACCTATCTCCTTCTAACGCCTACTGGCGACTTTATACGTTCACACCGTCCTGCATTGACACTAAGACATGCATACATATATATCTACATTCTGCCGAATTCTCTCCCTCCCTCCCTCCCTCTCTCGCTGTCTCTCTCTCTCTGTCTCTCTCTCTCTGTCTGTCTTTCTCTTTCGTTTGCACCAAGACATTTGCATTTTGATACTCCAACTTTCACTCTATCATTCTGTATAAATTTTGTTATATAGAAATTTATCATATATATATATATATATATATATATATATATATATATATAACTAATTTTCTTTTAATCCTGGCACAAAGCCAAATAAATCTCAGTAGGGTGCATAGTGAGGTGTAGAGTGTGCGACGGTCCCGGTTATCAATACCGAAGAGTGAAATAAAAATATCGTTTATTCTTAATTTGACTGATCTCTTATCAGATCGGAAACTGATCTAATCTGGTTCTGAATATAATTTCTCTGTATGTAGGTTAATTGTACAATATTCATTTTGGTTAACAAATTACAGAACCGCAAGCTGTAATAATTTACATCTACTTCAGAACTGATCTCTAATGTGATTTAGAGATATAATCTGCATCTCGATCGAAGTTTATATATTTTGGTAAATAACATAATTGTTCATATTGGTCAACTCACTGCAGAGGGATGGATATATAACATTTCTTTGTGCAAAAACTGAATATAACAAACTTGGCCAGAATTCAAAAATAGCTCAATGATTTCTATTTCTGAGCTACTAAACGTTGGTTGGTTGATTTGTTTAACAGAATATCAACTCCATATGAGTCTTTTAATGTCGAAATTTAATCTTGTGGGCAGCTTTGAAATAATAAAAATATAAGTTATTCTGCTTTCACAATTGAATACATGGTAGATGATATTCAGCTTTTGTGCATATAGATGTTTGTGTGGACATAATTATTAGAGGTGTGTATTATATGTGTGTTTTAGGTTGTAGTTTCTGTTTAAAGTTATATTTTGGAATACAGTTTGATTTAAGAAATTGTAGGATATTATATGGGTTAATGTCATGAAAGAGATCTTTCATGTTGGGTGTTTGATTTTATGTCAACCTCTATGGATTATTTTATGCCGAAACTTAAATAATTTGAACAGTTTTATGACTTCTTCTTGTCTTATAACGCCATTCACTCGGGGTGGGTTGAGCCGGCTCCAATTGAATTAACTGCATCGCGCGTCAAGGCCATCCACCCCAGTCGATCGTCAGCAGAATCGACGGCATGATCGCCTGCCATTCGTGATTCCAGCGTCGGACCCCGAAAACGCAAGGACCGGACATGAGTTCCATATTTGCTTTGACCGTTGCGAGCCACGTCTTGAGTTGACCACCTCGGCGCTTCCTCCAACCAGTCGGTGCGTTTGGCGGCACCAGTTTACGGACAAACTCATCACCAGTCCGCCGCAGCACGTGGCCGAACCACCGGAGTCTCCTGTTAAGCAGAGTTTCTTCCAGGCCCAGAATGTTGCATCTGGCGCGGATGGGCGAGTTGGGGATCCGGTCGGAGAGGCGCATGCACAGGATACGGCGTAGGCAGTAATGATCGAAGACCTCAAGCTTTTGAAGATCCTCTCTGCACAGTGGCCAGGTCTCACAACCATAGAGAAGAATTGTTCTGACCATGGCATCGTAGATTCGCAACTTCCTGGATCGTCTTATCTGAGACCAAAGTCGTTTTTGAAGACGGACAAAGGCCGCTCTAGCCAAATTTATACGGGTGGTGATTTCGTCCTTCGCTTGACCAGTGGCTGTAAAATTGGCGCCAAGATATTTGATATTTGATATAGTTTTATGGCTTCAAATAAACCTCGACAAAATCCAGAGACAAATATGCAATTGAGGCCCTGATCTGGAGTCTAGTTTACACTCGCTTTCTAACAGACGTGCTGTGGCTTTCCAGTGTCTCTTCTACAAGTATTTTCACAGCAACTGTTCTGACGAGCTACTTTCGCTAGTTCCCACACTGCATGAATTTAAGCGAGCTACTAGGCTGGCATCTCGGCCCCACCCTTTCACTGTCAAAACGGTTAATTGTAACCACCTCTTCTACTCAGACAGCTTTTTCTCTCGCACTTCCAGTCTGTGGAACTCCCTTCCCCTTACTTGCTTCCCCGATAACTATAATCTTCAAATATTCAAGTGAATTGTCAATCGACATCTGACACCCTGAGCTTGTTCCCTGTCCTTCTCTGTATCCTTTCCTCAAACACACGCCTCTTTACTCTTGTTCTCAATCCTCTGTAAGTGAATTGCTTTAAAAATGTTTTGAACACAATTATATGGCTTCAACTACAGATAAAATGTATTGCTGACCATTTTGCTTTAAAAATGTATTGTTGCTTATTTTACTATATGTATTGTTGGTCTTTTTTATATAAAAATATATTGCTAGTATTTTTATTATTAAAATATATTTTTATACTTTCATAGTGTTTCTGTTGAGTGGGGGGGGGGGCACTATTTGCTCATAGCTGGGACTCTAACAGGTGCTGCCACTCCGGGTCAAGATGTACCTGGAAACAACATAATTTCACGCTCCTGAAAACCTCCAATCTCCCGATCTGAGGCCTTGCTGCCGGATGTTGTCTATCGTCATACCCAGGACATGCCACTAAACGTAACACTACTTACACATCCAAATAAATAATAGAAATAATGCTTAGAAAAAAGAAATTCAAATAAAGAATTATGCGATATTTTTATAATCTCTTTTATAAATTTAGCGTTATGGCAATTTTAAGAAATTCAGGTTAAAAGTCGTTTTGAAAAATACCCATTTCTTCTTGGTTAATGACGAAATGTAATTGATTTTGCAAATATTTCCATTTTTATTCCTATTAATCTGAAAACATCAGAATTTAACAAAATTAAATTCTTTTAAATGAAATTCTGATTATCGAATTTATTTTTTTCAGCAATTCTGTTTTCCTTTACATTAAGATGACGTATTGCTGCTGATGACAACAGTAGCCGTAGTAGCAATAGTTGTTGCAGCAGTAGTAGCAGTTTCATTTTTTATCTGTTAAATTATCATATATAATGTACATTTTTAGTTTTTCTTAGACTTCATTTCTTTCAAATATAAAAATCTTAAAAGTATACAAGCAATATGATACATTGTAAAAATGTCGTTTTTATTTTATCTCACTCTCTCTCTCACACACATTATACATCTCTATCTTTTTCTTTCTCTCTTACTCTCTCTCTCTGTCTCTTTGTCTCTCTCTCTCTTTATATATATATGTATATATACACGTGTTTGTGTGTGTGTGTGTGAAAAAAAATTATAGATATAAGTAAAAAATATATCTGAAAAGGAACAATATGAATAATAAAAGCTGAAGCAAAACCTATCTTAGCCGACGAGTTTGGTCCTCTGATGAACTTTACCAAGGCAAATGTAAGAATTTTATTTTGCAACAGTATTTATAAACAAAAGTAAAAATATTGTCAGTTTTACAAAATTTAGGAATGTTCATAAATATTAATCAGGATAACTGAAAAGTTTAGATGAATTATGGAAGACGCAAGCTGGCATAATTCAATTTTCCTAATAAACGAAAATAAGTAAATATAAATCTACGCCTTTTTTTTTTCAAATATCTCTGTTCTTGAAAGAAATACGTGACTATAAAAATTTTTAAAAAATGATTAAAATCTGTAGGATTATTATTATTATTACAAATAAATAAAAATAAAATATAAAATAATAATAATGAAAATTATAAATAAAATAAAACAATAACACTTAAACTTTGTTTAAAATAAATTAAATAAAAATTAAAAGTAATAAAAATGCTCCCAGTATACAACAAAAATTGTTCCTGTCGAAAATACGGACATCCCGCCAAAAGACGTTAAATTCAATCTCTTCACCACGAACCATGTTACGGGCAATATGTGTTCGACGTTTTTCTGTGATATGGTGTGTTTTAATATGGAATAACTTCTCCCTTTTATCACATGTACAATAAAACAATTGTAACTTAAAAAATACACGCAACAATACACACAAAATATATAAATAAATTGCATGAAATTAACATAAATTTATCATGCTTTTCCTGTTATTTTTGTACGTTTTATTTCCTGTCAAATATGCTTTTATGTCCATGAACACAAGGCTAATTTCTGCTGATATGATGTGAGTGAACACCCACAAATCATAACGTTCTATTATTTAAAAATATATATATAATACTTAATTTAAAATAAATATTAATTACATTATTTTAAAAAATACTCACTTTTTTTATTAGACATTAAATTACATCACTTAGCGTCATCCATAATTTACCTAAACTTTTCATTTAGACTGATGAATATTTATGAGCGTTTTAGAATTTTGATTGATTAATCGATTTGTTTTTTACGGTTTATCAACCTGTTGTAAGATATTTAAAGCCAGAAAATATTTTTAGATTGTAGAATTATTTAATAATTTTTAATAATGATTTACTGATACAAATCCTGCTAATTAACTCATAGCTGTAAGAAAAAGAAGTGGTGTCATATATTTCCCAAGGGTATTTGCGCATATGTGAATATAATGAACCCGACTGGAATTGAAACTCAGCACCAATTTCCAATTTCGGGCACTTATTCATTACACCACCAATACATCCAAACTTACAGCATCTTGTATTCCCAAGTGTCTAGGTACTGACCAGGCTCAACATTGCTTAACTTCGGTGATCTTACGAGAACCGGTGTTTTAACGTGATTTGGCTGTAAGCCGTTCTAAAATTTAAAATTTTTATAAAACTAAGAACATTTTTACTTTTGTTTATAAATACTTGTTGCAAAATAAAATCCTTACATTTGCCTTGATAAAGTCCACCAAAGGACGAAACATGTCAGCTAAGATAAATTTTCCTTTTGTCTTTATTATTCAGTTAATATATTGCGACATTTTATTACTACTAATTATGACTTTGTCTTGAAGTAGTCAAATCAATAACATTTTTATATGGTTATTATCATTAATATTATCAACAGTGGAATAGGCAAAGATCTACACGCTCTCAACGGCCAAGCCGGCGGAAGAGGGCAGGGCCAGTCGGGCTGGCGTAAACAAGGCTGACCTTGACAGACCAATCATCCGATAGCCCGATGCAACCAGATTTGCCAGATCTCGCCTGTCTCAATCTCCTTTGAGTCACGAGGGAGGCGCTTCTGGCCAAATGTGTGGGCTTCTCCGTCGAGCAGAATTGTCCACCCATATCAAATTCACGCCTCGTCAAACTCTCTTTGATTCACAGCTATCTCTGCAACCGTCACCGGAGGTGGGGAGGGGGGGAGAAGAATAGGGTGAGTTGATGATGATCCCGATGCTCGGATGCGAGCGGGTGCCGACAACAAGAACAACAATTGCAGCAACAACAATCGTTATTAATTTGGATTTTTAACGACATCAGCAGTATAATTATTAACTATATTTGTTGCTTGGCAAATCAGTATTACGATTCCGTGATTTACTTTAACCTTATGAGCTCTACGATCCTGAACAATTTTAAACCTTCTGCCTGAGCTCCAAGCAGGATGAAGTATGTGTCAAACAAAATAACAAAAGAATGAATTTGACTCAACAACCCATGGGATATTTCACAGTGTACTGTTCCAAATTTTAATTTGATTGGAATTTTTCTTGTTTTACTTTTCTAAGAAAGAATTCTGTGATAATTTGTATTCTCTATAGACCAGTTATCTCCCTTGTATCATAAACAATATATTTATTAGTAAAATCGACCGTCGAATTAAATAATAAATAAACTATAAGATTGATTTGTCAGAAAGGATGTTATCGGTCTGCTGGAGGCGATCTCAGAATGGCTCACCTTTGGAAAGTGCTACAAAACCCCACCACAGGTTGACACAAGCTTTGTGAGTGAAATTGTGCAGACGGGACTCTTTGGGAGCCGTCAATGGTTGTGCTAGCTCGAAGTCACAAATCATTGTGACCGAGAGTCTGTGCGTGCTGGCCTTGTTCAGACTGTCGATCACGCTAGATAATGTGCGCCTTCCCCAATAAACTGTAACCGGCTCAGCATAGTTGTAATATAAACCACAGGTTATCTCCGTGTGTGTTGAACAAACACAGATGTGCCTGAGCAGGCGTTTGCAACAGGGATTGGGAGACGGGCATCTCCGAACATGAGTCGTCAGGCATTTATTTTATATTACTAAATTAAGTTTTCTTAATGAACTAAAATGTCTGTAAATTCACCAGGAATTTTGTCTGGAGCTAATTTTCTGTAGTAAACGCAATAAGCCTGAGAAAACTATTAGGACTTAATTATTATTATTATTTTTTTCATTTGTATGCTTTTCCTTAACAATATTCTGAACATTTCATTATTCTTATCTTTCTATAGACTACAAATGACTACCTAAAAATTCTTTTACTGTAAAAGTTACACCGCAAGTAACTGATAACACTGTGTTAGCCTTTAGATTTTTTATCTTCTAAGTTTTTCTTTTCACTTATTGTAAATTCTGGTTCTATTAAGATTGTGTTTATTATAAAAGTTATATATTTGCGTACTTTTTAAAAATTAAAAGAAATGCAACACCAAAAGTTAAAAAAAAATCAGTTTTGTTTAATATTTACCAAGAAACTGTAAGTATTTGACAAAGTACTTTTAGCAGTTGCATCTGTTTTCATTCAGGGCGGTAGTGCAAGTCTTTGTCAACGCAGTACAAGGGAAGATACAGACCTAAACAGATTATGATACTAAAACTAAACATTAAATCTCTCAAGCCATTCGCAGGTTATTTAAAGTCAGAACATTATTTTTAATCATTTTACCCCATGGAAGGCGGGAATGACACTAGTGCGCAGGCGGAAGTTACAAGGACTGAAAGTGAAAAAGGAAACTGTGAAAAGGGAGGACTGAGGAAAGGACGAAAGATGAACGGGATTCACGAAGATAGAAGATGACGATTGATGGTTAGTTATCAGGAAGCAAGATATCGGAAGGGAATTCCGCAGGTTAGAAGTGCGAGAAAAGACGTTTTTAGAATAGAAGCAGCGGTTGCATCTAGCTAATTTAACAGTAAAATGGTGAGACCTAGTTGCCAATCTAGTAACACGCTTAAAGTCATGTAGTCCAGGCACCAAAGAAAAAAAAGGTCGTCAGAGCAGTTGCCATGAAAATATTTGTAGAAAAGACAGAAGGAAGCTGTCATGTTGCTGAGAAAGTGACTGAAGTTGAGATGTCTGGTATGGATCGATTACATTACAAACTCTTTGGATTTTGTCAAGAATCTCGAGATGAGTAGCGGGAACTCCTGACCCGATATGGCAAGAGTATTCTAAGCACGAATGAATGGTAGATTTGTAAATGTGCAAAATGAATTCTGTGTGTTGTTTGTTTATTACAGCTTTCTAAATAGAACTCTTCTTCGAACATTAAAGTCATGAATATCTCGCTTCTGAAGAGACTCCCGAACACACGTGCTGTATTCAATAAGCTTGTCTTACACGAAAGATTTTTTCTTTTCTTTTTTTTTTTATCATTTCTCGCCAAGCAATGCTGGAATGCCAGTAGTACGCAGAGGGTTACATGGAGTGAAAGTGAAAGAGAATATTGAGAATAAGGAAGATTTAGGAAAGGACAAAATATGAACGGGATTAAAGAAGACAGAATATAGCGATTGACGTTGCATTTAAACTATTGAAGATTGTATTCATCAGGGAAGCAAGTAAACGGAAGTGATTTCCTCAGCTGGGAAGTGCAAAAAAAAAAAAAAGATACTGTTGGAGTAGAAGTGGCGGTTGCATTTAGCTAACAATAAAAAGATAGGACCTAAATGCCAATCTAGTAGCACGCTTAAATTCATACAGTCGGAGTACTAAGGGAAAAAAAAAAACTTGTTAGAGCAGTTGTCATGAAAATATTTGGAAACCACGTCAAATCAGTGAAAGACTGACTGAAGTCGAGATACAAAGTCAGGATCGATTACATTACAGATCCTTCTTTGGATTTTGTCAAGAATCTCAAAAGGAATAACAGGAGCAACAGACCAGGTATGGCAAAACTAAAGCTTATTTTACAATTTCCGAAACAAACAGTCACATTTCTCTATATAATCTTCAAAACTGCTTGGTTTTTTTGTCTTTTTGTTTAAAAAAAAAACACAAAAAAAAAAAAAAACAGTTAAATGAAAGAGACTGTTATTTCGGCACATACATGCACGCATCAATGCACACATCAATGCACACATCAATGCACACATAAATTGAGAAAGTTCTGCAAAATAAAAAAAATGTTCTGCACATAAACGTTACATAAATGCTCACTAGTAACATGAAAAACACTCGAAAATTATTTCATTAGATAATTTAAGTTTATCAAAAATAAAATACAGAAGAATGCAAAAGCAGGTATATAGTAATGAAAAACAAAAGATGCACATAAAACGTATTGTATTGATTATAGAAACAACAATAATAACATATCGATAATAAACATATCAGTTACTGAAATGTTCACTCTGTTTCCCATGTCATTTCCACACCCCTCTTTACCTGCAAATCAATCATTATTATCATTTGTTAAAAAATAAAAATTATAATAAATATATTTGTCATATAGGAAAAAAATGAGTAACTAGCGACAGTAGGTCGGGTGTGCGTTTGAGACCAAACATCCTTTCAAGGCACAGTGCTTCCCCGAGAGGAACTCCGCTCATCCTGATTGGTGGTAGTTCGCGGTCAGATCGGCGGTGATAGAATGTAACTATCTTAGTCTTCGAGGCATGGAATGTAACCCAACAGTTTTTAATCCATTGGGTCGTTTGTTCAAGATCTAAAGAAAGATAAGTCGCCAAGGTTTCTGTTTGGGAGTCAGAAGGAAATGTGTATACAACAAAAATACAAGGAAATAATAATAAGAAGAAGAAGAAGATTAAAAAAGAAGATTAAACATACAAGGTGACCTGCATCCCTAGCTTATGTACGAGTTCCACTTGATGTTGGGTGTGAACATTCTTTCAAGTCATATATATATATATATATATATATATATATATATATATATATATAATGTGGCAAAATAAATAAAAAAGAAAGAACTGTTTTGGAGTAAAAGATATAAACCATTCTTTTCCTTTTTTTTTATTTAAAGACAATTGTCTTAATTTTAAAGTTTGTTCTTATAGATATTTTATTTTTACAAAATAGCTTGCTCAATAAATCAATTAATTTATAATATATATATATATATATATAATATGCACCAGGTCTCTGAATTCAATGTTCAACACTTGGCAGTCGAGAGATGCAAACCGCAATGCAACTTCTATTTTCCTGGAGAGCTTGTCGTATCCTGTAGGTACTCCCACATTAAAAAAACAAAAAAACAATCGGAAGCGAATATTCCAGTGAATATCGTAAAACTGATTCAGCATATAAAATACAGCCAAAGGTACCAAAGCTGTGGCAAAATCCACCCACAATAAATAAATGAAGAATTTCTGTTTTTGGAATAAAAGTAGTCTATTACCATTCTTTTCCTTTTTTTATTTAAAGACAATTGTCTTAATTTTAAAGTTTAATTCAAGTAAAAGAATTAAAGATTCGCCATGTTTTAAACTGTGGATCTGTACGAGTTGGTTTATAAGTAATTATTGGCTTGCTTAACCCTTTCATTTGATGTTTTCTGTCTTCTAAAGAATTTCTTAACATTCTCAATGGCTTATTTGTATCATTTTATATTTCACTTTCGA